GATTAGATAATGGGCTTTGCTCCTCCATCATTGGTTTGACTAGAACTGGACGAAAGCCCAGTTGAAAGAGGAGATACCTTGGATTGTTCTGTTTCCTTTCACTTCCACATTGTAAATCTGCAATTTTGTAATTATTTAATTTTATATTCAATAGTTTGAGTGTGTTGAGAATTATTATGGAGCTCATTATTAATTTGATCACCAATATCCTTCTATGTTTTCTTTTAAATAAATATGACAAACGATTATTTATTGAGTAATTAAGTAATTAACTCTTCCTTCAATGACTATTCTAAGTATAGCTGTATATTAACAAATCTAGATGATCAAATCCCTTAAGCACATAACTTTTGTTTCAATTTAATGCGTAAACTACAACCTAACCCACACGGTAATCTTCCATTTTCAATTCTACTCTGCATGCACAAACAGAAGCAGAGCAGAATGAGTAAAATTATTTAAACTGCGGGCAAATTGGAATTAATTAAATTTTGTGAAGAATTGAATAATGTAATTTGCCTTGAGATTTAGCATTATATAACTGGTCAATAATATTATATAATTATGAGACATATTGTTCGTAGACTACCTACTGCTGACGGATTCTGTTTGTTATTGCCATGGGATACATGTGGGGCCGATTAACTGTATTTCAGAATTTAATTTTATAAGAGAAATTAATTTCTACCTAAAAAATAAAATTATGGGACCCTAAATTCATAGAACCAATTATAGGACAGATGATATAATCTATCATTATATTTAACAATAATGAGCTCAATCGGCCAAGTGTTTATTTTAAAAGAACAATTAATTAATAATACTATTCAATCGGCTCGAACCCAAGTTCGTTGATTATCTTTTGGTAGCTCAGATTTGTCTGCCTCCAGAATCAATACTAACATATACGGTGCTCATATACACCACATTATCTAGCACAAAATTTCAAGCAACTGACTATTTTTTCAGTCGACTGTAGGTAGCTTAATGAAGTTAACTATTCATCTAATCCAGTCTATTATAGGCAAAAAAAACTAATTACCGTTTAAAGCATTACAATGCGTGTAAATAATATTTTTGCTAATTAATTGTTTCTAACCAAAAGGAACATGGGAGAGTGTTGCGTTGTCTGCGGAGACGCGTGCATTGGCGTGGAGATCTCAACATTTCTACAGAGTTTTGTCTGATCAAATCAAGGGGGAAGTCTCTACAGCTCATTTTAATTTGAATATTTTTGGACTAGTTTATGCAAGAAATTAACACAGATGATTTTATAGGAGAATTTAGTAAGCGTATTAATTTAACAGAATTTATAAATGTTTGTTTGTAAGTTTATTCTGAAACACTTTTTTTTGCTCCTGTAATGTCAAATGTAAAAGCGACATGCAATATTGATAATGCGATCTCATCGGTTAAGAATATGTAAGAGGATATTCTGCCGGGAGTCCCAAAGCCCCTTTGGTAAAGGTGTTAAGGAAGAGGGATTAATGAGAAGAATTAACATAGTTAATCTATTCGATAATCCGAAAGACTAAATTATTAACTCATTATATAAGTTTTATTTTATCCATTATGATCGTTTTTAGTGTTTAGGGATAACAAGGATTTTGACTATTTTATTTATAATTAGAAGGATTAACTCTTAATCCTTCTAAATAGGAGTAGTAAATCCCTTATTTTAATCTCTCTGGAGGGGTTAGCTTAACCCTCCTATATTTTTTATGTTTGGCAAACTATGGAGGGTTGACTCACTTTAACTCTTGTATAGATTTTTTGTGTTTAGCGGGTTAAAAAAAGGTTAAGTCTCTTTAACCCCTCACTTAACCCTTTGTCAAACGATAATAGGATGCCAGAATTGGATCCCAAATAATAAACCAACAATCTTTTTTTTATTGCCAAATAAGAAATATAAGGATGCGCACGAGATGTCTAATTAAGAGGATTCAAATCCTGATTATGAAAGGATTGTTCTTGAACGAGGCACTGCTTGGTAGATTAACGGTTGTTTATTAATGGTCCCCTGATGATAGATTAATGGTTGTTTATTAGCTTGATCCTGTATTAAGATAAACAAGGAGGGATCTCCTCTTGGGAGTTCGTTTAATATTGCAATGCGCGCGACGATTGGTTGAATAGTCTACTACAAAGCATGTTTTTGAGAAATCACGGTTTGAGAGATATTTGCACTTTTGTCTGTTTTTTACTATTTTTAGTAATATTTTAAGAGTCTGTTTTGTTTAGGAAACAAATCCAATTTGATCTCAGATTTGACCGGTGGACTTTCCTAGTAATAAGGAGTCTTTTTAGGAGTTTTAATATTTTAGAAATTCTTTTACTATTTTTGGTAGAGTTTGAGTCCTTGTAGGAGTTTTGTTTCTTTTTTTTTCTATTTAAGAAGAGTATTGTAAGCCCTAGAGGTAGGGGTGCTAAACCGTATCCGTATCCGATGAAATATCCGTAACCGTATCCGTTAGGATACGAATATGGTTACTCAAATCTATAACCGATAGGATATGGTTATGGATATGGTTTTGTAGTGAAATATCCGTATCCGTATCCGAAATATCCGAATACATATTAGTCATACTCTTACGATTGTTTCGATTCTTAGATTATGGATTTGTGGTTAATTTTGATGATCAAGATGACTAATCTTAACTATTTAGTTATAATGGATATATTAACGAACTTTTTTGTATCACATGAACTATGTTTTTCTCAATACTATCTAGTTTTCTCATATCTGTTTTGTATCCGCATGCATATCCGCTTATATATCCGCATGTATATCCGTAACCGTATCCGATTTTAGCGGATATGGTTATAAGTTTTTCTTACCGAGGTATATCCGTATCCGTATCCGTATCCGAGATGGGTAAGCGGATATGGATATGGTAAGCATCATATCCGAGCCGTATCCGGACCGAATGCACCCCTACCTAGAGGCATACTTTTGATTAATAAAAATTTCGTTTTTTTCTCAATATTTCTTCGTGGATTCGAAGCTCTTCGTGGATTCGAAGATTTTCCTTGGTAGATTCCGAGGCTATTACTTCCGCGCTGCGTCAGAATACAAAAAGATTTATCTGCAATTAACCATGTATCCTACTTAGAGCTACATTCTGCACCGTACGTTCTGTATTTCTGAGTCTCTACCGATCCTCATTATCTGCTGCAAAAACTGCAGTCCAAGTGATAAAACCACAAACACCGTTATAAAAGCAGAGGCCCCAACTTGCAACAATCAAACAATTGCAAGCAGAACCCAAATATTATTACTCCTCTACCCTCCTCCCCCCTCTATAAAATCCCACCACCACCCCCTTCATCGGTCTCCACCAAATCTCGCTCATCCCCGACGTACGCTTCTCTAACTAATGGCTTGGTCCGTAGAGAACGCCACCAGAGCCTACCTCCACACTCTCAAATCCGTAAGCGAAATCCCTGGAATCCTTCGAACAAAATAAACGAGAGTACAAATCTTATCAGAACATCCCGTCAAGTTGCTTCAAAACATCTTGTCGCGATTCAAATCAATCACATGCGTGATGATACGATACGTACATGAGTTGTTCTGATAAGATTTGCATTCTGCAACGGGTGAATTCAAACCGTCTAACTCTTGAATCTTTGCACAGGGGAACGAGCCATCCTCAGCAGCCCCGACGATCTGCAGCCCTCTCTGGAATCCGTCGGCAATGTTAACGCAAACCGGAACCTCGTTCAGCTCGTCGTAGGCGACGCGTTCGAGCTCATTTCGGATGAATTCAAGTCCGCAGACTTCGTGCTCGTCGACTGCCGGCTCAGGGATCAGGAGAGGGTGTTTGAGGCCGCAGAGGGCAACGGAGGTTTAGTCGTAGGATGCAATGCCTTCAGCTGTGCGAGGAATATTAATAAAGGTGTTAATGGGGAGGACTCGAGGGTGGATTTGTTGCCGATAGGAGGAGGGCTCAGGGTCTGCAGGGGGGAGAGGAGGAGATCAGAGAGGGCGAAGAGCCGGTGGGTGGTTAGGGTCGATGAGTTCACCGGAGAGGAGCACGTTTATAGGATAACTCCGGCGTCGCCGAGGGGGAGGAAGGGGATCAGGGTTTAGGGTTTTTTTGTATTATTATTATATTTCTCTCTCTCCCTTTTCCCCTCCTTTTTTTTGTTGGAGATGGTGAGAAATCAATGGGGAAGGTGTGTGTATATATGTGATTTTGCGTTTGATTGTTGTTGGTTTTGCTTGAGATTGTTGATGCAAGCGTCAACGTGTTGAAGGTTTTAGTAGTGTGTAAGTCAATACGTTGAACGATTTTAGTAAGTAAAAGTATGAACTTAATAATACATATCTAGATACGATGGTTTGGATGAATATCAAAGCTATAACAATTGACAATGGATTTGATAAAAGTTAATACTTGTGTTGATAAGAGAGGAGATTCTCTGTATCTTTGATTATGGAGTGTCTGCAATAATTTTGGTTGTGACCTATGCATTTAAAACTTTACGGAAATCACATACCGCATGGCTCCAATAAATTTTTTTTAGTTTATACATCTGATAACCTAGGAATGAACGGCCTCTAATGGTCTTAGACGTTTATTTTTGAATCGCTTTGATTATAAAATAAGAATTTTTCAAACCACGTTATTTTTTATCCATTTAGATTTAATGACACGTAGACAACAAATGAACAGTTTAGATTTACAATATAGATGGACAAAAATATATTTTTATAGGCATATGTGACTAAAAAGTTACACCATGTGTGTATTTTAACCCTACCCTAAATTATATTATTAAAAGTAAATCCACTATTTTGCAAAATTCAGTTTTTTGCTCTGAATTTGACGAAGTTGAGTTCACACACAACCCAATCCTCCAGGACTTTAGGCGCCCAATCAGTATGGAAAGTTGCTATGGGCTCTTACCTTCTGTTGGGCCTTTCTTAAAGCCCATAGGATACTTATCCTATAAATGGCCGCAACTCTCCGAGTGCGATGAGTCGCGCGCGCGCGATGGCTTCATCTTCTTCAATTTCTGCTCTCCTCTCTCCCCCAACCTCAGCGCTGTTCTCATCAAAATCCAAAATCTCCTCTCTCTCCTTCAACAAAATCCAACCTTTCTTCTTCTTCAAGCAAAAACCCATCACCCCAAGTACCATCTCGGCCGCCGCCGCTAACTCCACATTCATCCTCCACGAACTCGGCCTCTCTGAGTCCCAAATCGATCTCCTCTTTCAAACCCATCCTCAGATCGAGCTCTCATCTACAGAATCTTTAAACCGCAGAATATCACAGCTGCGATCTCTTAGAATCACTGAAAGCGCAATCTCTCGTCGACCCGAGATTCTAACTTCCCCTGAATTCGACCCATTGCTCGATTTCATTCAGAAGCACTTAGTTGGAGAAATCCAACAAGAGAAGCTCGAGAGGTTGCTGATATCAACGAACCCATCAAACTCAATTGAGAGGATTCATCTTCTATTGGAGCGTGGAATTCCTGAAGAAAAACTCGCCCACGTCATCAACAGTGTGAACGTAGGCAAGGTGTTTGATGGAATGCAGATTCGGGAGTTAGAGGAAGTTCTCCTCTTTCTGCAGCGATTTGGCTCTCCTGAGATCATTCTCCGGCGACCGGCAATCCTGAATCTCGATCTCCAAACCCAATTGATTCCAAGAATTAACTTTCTGATCGATCTCGCCGACGGAGAGGAATCCGCTGCTGCGACTTTAATCAGAAAACTACCCGGAATTTTGGCTTACACTGTGTCACACTTTAGATCCCATCTCAACTTCTGGACCTCGATCGGCCTCACTAGAGAACAAATACTCAAAATGGCGCTAGTCTATCCGAACATCTTCAGTGTCAGCAAAGAGCGAAAGCTCAAACCCCGAATCGAATTCTTAACCCAATGCAGCCTCAACACCGAAGAAATCTTCAAGTTCTTGATCAAGGCGCCGACTTTCCTAAGCCTCTCATTCGAGAAAAACCTATCGAAAAAACTGGGTTTTCTTATAAAGATCGGATACAAACACCAAACGAAAGAATTGGCTATTGCATTAGGGTCTGTGACAAGAACGAGCTGCAAGAATTTGCAAATGGTGGTTTCTCTGTTTCTAAGCTACGGGTTCTCTTGCGAGGACTTGTTGAAGATGAGCAAGAAGCATCCGCAGATTTTGCAGTATAATTGGGTGTCATTGGAGAAGAAGATGGAGTTTTTGATTGAGGAAATGGAGAGGGATGTTGGAGAGTTGATGGGGTTTCCTGCTTTTTTAGGGTATAAGCTTGATGATAGGATTAAGCATAGGTATGAGATGAAGAAGGAGAGTAGAGGGAAGGGGATGTCTCTTAATAAGTTGCTTAGTGTTTCTACTAAGAGATTTAACTTGAAGATGGAGTAGTTTGAGTTTTGAGGTTGGAGGGAAAATGTGGATTTGAACTTATGGAGAAAGGGTCAGATGATTGCCCTTGGCTTTTGGTAAGTTGTTGATATGAATTCTACTTCTCCTAAAATTTTGGGGTAATTAAATGAATTCTATTTCTCGATTCATCTATGTTAAGGTTTATCTCCTATGTTAATTAAATCATTATAGTATACCATACTTCTTAATTGTTTCCAATTGATTAGCTTGGGTGGAGTACCATGTAAGCTGAACGTCTAAAACTCCCAAAACAAATCCAAGCCAATGGGAAATGATTGTCCAAAGATATTTCATCTTCATACCCAAATGGAATGCATTACTAATTACAGTCCAAGCTTTGTCTACATCAAAGTTTTTTGGTCATGAAAGAGAAAGATAATATAAGATTTTCTAGTATATCTTCTTCACTCATATCTTTGTTACTCGGATATTTATTCTACAAATTTCTATTGTTCAACATTTACATGTATGGCATTCATTCAGATACTTGGATATTTATTCTACATTTTTCTATTGCTCAACATTCATGTATGGCATTCATTCAGATACTTGGATATTTATTCTACAATTTTCTATTGTTCAACATTTACATGTATGACATTCATTCAGATACTTGGATATTTATTCTACAATTTTCTATTGTTCAACATTTACATGTATGGCATTCATTCAGATACTTGGATATTTATTATGCTATTTCGAATAGTATAAAATTATTGATACCCTTATATCTTAAATGGAAATATATGATAGGTTAAATTACATGTCCCTCTTTTTCACTTAAATGACCCCCCTTTAGAACTTTTCACTTTAATAACCTTACTTTTTTTCCACTAAAAAAATGCCAATGCCGTTATATTTTTCTCGTAAAAAAAAAGACATTTTTTGCTCGCTATCCCTCAAAAGTTATTGATTTCTCTTGTTTTTCTCTCCAACTCTCAAATTATCTTCCATCTCCATCAATTTCATCTCTCCATTCTTCAACTGCATCTTCTTTTCTCTCAGTTTATCCTCTAATAAGATCAATTTCTATCCATCCTTATTCTTCAAATCAAATCTCAGCTCCACCTTATCACATAGCAACTTGTTGATCACAGATTAAGCTTGGGGAGGAAAAACTTTATCATACCCTTCAAAATACTTGCACTTAGAACCACCTCTATACTTAGTCAGGTAAAGAACTTCCGATTTTTCTTTGGTCTAAGTTGTTTCAAGATGAGCCATAGCCTGACAATAGCAAATCCCTCGTCTCTTTCTCATCGACACCCCTATGCTTGATGTTGAGCTTGAACTTCTCTTAAGCTTGCCCTTCATGTTTCCTTGCATTGAATGAGGAGAGACAATGGGGAAAAAATGTGAGCTTTAGGTCTAAATTGAGGAGAAATGAGTGTAATATAATTTGAGGGCAGTTTATTGTGAGTTAGAGACATATAGGGGTAAACAACGGCCTCGTAGTATCACATGACCCCCTTACATGGGAACATTCTCATCATCTTTTAACAGATCACTAATGTTCTGAACTTTAGGCCATGAAGTTGCAACATTTGTAAAGTTTTAGATATTTATTTGAAACGTTTTACAACTGAGGTCATTTAAGTGAGAAAGAAGGAAACAGTAGGCCATTTTAGTGCAACTTACTCAATATGATATGTATATTTGTCTACATAAAAGCACATATCTAGGTGCAAATGACAAAAGTCCTATTCATCTTTTATATTAGTATTTAGATCCAGATTCCGGATTCTAGAAGGGGATATTTTAGCTTTCTAAACACTTTAGAATTCTTTACTTTTAAATGATCACAAAGGAAAGGCTGTAGTAAGTCAGCTGAACTTTTAAAACTCCTAAAACAAAACCAAGCCAATGGGAGATGATTGTCCAAAGATATTTCATCTTGATACCCAAATGGAATCCATTAGCAGCTACAATCCAAACCCTGCCTACATCAAAGTTCTTGTCATGAAAGAGAAAGATCCTATAGATTCCATATTCTACTGCATCTTCTTCCACTAATAATCTTAGTTACTTGTCGAATATGCCACTAATAGCTGGTGGCTGTCATTGTCATTTCATATCTTTTTACACAGTCATATGATAATAATTGTGCTGAGCTTGATGCTTTTGGTTGGCAGGCAGTGCTCCAAGATTGTGAAACTTGTCAAAGTGATCAAGATTCAGCAAACGTTAGCAAAGATCCTACTCATGACCCACCTCCAAGGTACCTAAAACGCTAAGGAAAAATACAGTTGTTTTTTGAGACTATATGTCCAATCACGGTGTCTTAATATGAGAAGGCTCTTTCTTTTCTTTGTTCACTGGATTTTTGACACGTGTAAATTTAAGATAATTTTGAATCGCTCGAATTACGAAATTTATTTTTGGGTGAATTGCAGATGCACCCTCTTACTTAGAGAAGGTTAGTACTCCACTTATTATCTCCAATCATTCCTGTAGTTTTTATTAGCATGTTGATCTTTTATCTCCAAACGAAGTTATCTCTCTATTATTGTATGTACATGTAACACCAGATCTCTTTGTAACACATTGAAACATCATAAATCACAGTCAAGAGAGAGAGAGAGAGAGAGAGAGAGAGAGAGAGAGAGAGAGAGAGAGAGAGAGAGAGAGAGAGAGAG